CTAATCAGATAGATCAATTGCTAAGGATAGATTATTTTCAGGGTAGACAAAAGTTTCTTGTAATGTGATAAAACAATATAACAATCGCAGCAAAGCAGCAATGTATTAACGGCCGAAAATGATGTTTTAGAATTTTAAAATTACCAAAAATGCTGTTATTTTCATTTGTTTGTTGGTTTTTCTTTTTAGAAGTGAGGGCAATGTGGATATTGAACCGAAGTTTTATATTTGTATTTCCTATAGATATTGATGATAGTTGATGGTCTGGCTATAGGAGTACTCTGGTAAATTGTGTATTTAATGTATCTTACTTGATAATCTTTACAGAGAAATAGCATTATTTAAATGCATATTTTGCTTTAGAAATCCATATTTATTAAATTCTTTAATTATAGATTTAGAGCATGTTTGATGTTAACAGCTGACGAAAGTATCGCTGAATGCCAAGTAATGTGTCGAAAAGGTAGCAAAATGTAAATAAAAATGTATTTTGACTTTCATACAAAATACTAATTCACTATGATTATACTGATTGCCAACAAAGCAAAAGAAACAATTTGAAAGATAATTCATTTTTATGGCAAATAAGTACTTTTTTTAAACTGACAAGATACCAAACATTTTATGTTTTAACTTTTTGTGAAATACAAATGATAGCATTTTTAGGCATAATGGACCTTTAAAGTTTCACTAGTTTATTTATATTACTGCATAATTGTATGTGTGTACATTAAAAAATAAATGTCTTGCATGAAGGCCTTTACTATTTTTATTATTTATTTATTTCTATTTATCTTATTTTTTGTTTATTTATTGTGATAAAGTCATGCCAGCTGGTCTTATAAAAATACTAAATGTACGGACTGGTAAGACTGGAACTTCATACAAATAAATAAATAAATAAATAAATAAATAAATAAATAAATAAATATTAATAAAAATGAATAAATAGATAGATAAATAAATAAATATGATATTGTAAGTTGTATTGCCCTTCTTGAATCGAAAGTGATTAGACTTTGCCAACAGCGATAACCAGTCTATAGTACAGTCATGCAGTCGGATCTGACTCTAAACTGTTGGCGGTGCAGCTGAAAAACCAGAAAACAATGTTCCTAATTCAAGGCCAGGAAATCCATTAAACAAATGCAGCAGTATGAGGGTTAATCTAAACAAATTCAGAAGGTCAAGGGTTAATTTCTCACACAATCGACGGTTCACTGACTTAAGAATTTCTTTCAGGAAAGATAACGGACCTGCAATTATTGCAGACGGCATTAAGTGTAATATAAACTCATTGCAGGATATACACACCCTTAATGTTTTAAGCAGACGATAAACGAACTGTTTCAATGCGAAACCAACTCCTGAAATTGATCTGATTATAAAAATTCATACCACGATAAGCACGCCATTAATCTCTCATGTGGGTGCAAAAGGCACCAAAATAACTTCTTTGAACACTCCTGAAAATATTCCTGTCATTCTACCGGCGTTTAACTTCATTCGGGATTTCAGATTTTTATACATATGATGATTTATGTGTGTTGAATTTGTGATATTAGATGTCACTAAAATGCAAAGACAGGTTAGTTAATAAAAAATGAGAATACTTCTCTATGTGCAATAGTTTAAGTGTATTTGTAGACAGAAACTTATTCACTGCAGTGGTTTTCTAAGATGATAGGATAGGATTTAACATTTACTTAATTGTTATATATCCATTAATTGCTATATATCCATATCATTCAAATATACAGGAGAATTTGTGTTTTTAATTGTTTTCCAGTGAAATGAAATTTTCCTTTGTCTCTCTAGTACACATGTAAATTCAAATCAAATAAAAACCAAAGGCGTATGAGCATAATCATCGAAAACATAGACATATGTTTTAATGTAGCTAGGATTGACCTAGACACATGACCTAGACTAATCAATTCATTCCCTGCCACTAGTTTACGGCGTGTGTCTGTTTCTAATTTAGTGATTGAACAATCTAACGTCCTCTATAAATAATATATAAGTGTTAAAGTAATGTGACCTGGAAAAGTGATTGCATGAGAGTGTTTGATATATTGACTTAAACAGCTCTTTAGTTACTGTTTCGGTGCAGTATTTAAAACAGAATGAAATTTATGTTAAATATTATACTATAATACTGAAAACATACGAGTAACAACAAGAGCTTCCATCTAGCAATATTTTAACATGTACATCTTTCGCCGAAGTCAACTGACGTCAAGATGTTATGTTAATCCTCTATATAGCTTATTTATGAATTTAAGACGTTAAGTAAAATCTCTACAATTCTTTATCACCAATGTGTTTGTCGTCGTCGTCTTCAATAACGAGTTAAAAAAATAACAGCAACAGCATCGTAAACATTTAAACAGTTAAAGCATGTATTGTAGCTGTATAAATAGCGATACAACTACATTCACCATCATCAACAGTATCATCAATATCAACGGCGTCATCGCATTTGTCTCTTTTAATTCATTATTTATCGTAATTCTATAATTCTCATCTACTAGTATATCATAGATAACATTATCGTCATTTACTATCATAGTATTATCATCACCTTAAGCATTATTATGTATCAGTCATTATCATTATCATCGCTATCCACGCGTTCGTTATCCTCTTCTGTAACATGTTAAGTATCACCATCATCACCACTAGTATCATCATCAACACAGCAATAAACGCCATCGTCGTTGTCATCGTCATCATAACTATTATCATCATAACTATTGTGGTAATGTAATAATGATAATGATAAATATTGTATTAGATACTTGTGTTTATCTCTCCTAATAATTACGATATAAAGCACAGCAGTGTTTTACATATAGTTTGTTAAAGTCAGCTCTGCAAGCGATGAATAACATCAAATGTACTTTTCAAAATCAGTTATCATTATGTGATTTATTAGTAGCTTTTAGAAATGTCGGACTAAATTGACTGATCAGTAAGACAAAATCGTAAACATGAATGACAAGTACAAATGCCCACAGAAAACTTCAATTTGAAAAAAGTGTGGCTCATAGTCATAGATTCCTGACTGTTGCATATTTCTCGCAAGATTTATAGTTAGAATTTGCTTACGGAATTCATTTATTACCTTCACTTTCATCTTGCTAAATATCTTTTGACAATGATGGAATGCTAAAATTTTGAATATTATGTTTACAAGAATTTATTAGACCACCGCGACCCCTAGGGTTGTGCAATTTTGCAGCATGGTGTACAAATGGTTGTGAAGGACTATAAGGCGATGCTACATAGTACATGCCAAATAAATACAAACGTCATGCATGTTCTGGACATTGTAGTATTTGAGAAGTAGATTTATATATACATCCAGTATATTTCAAAGTTTGTTATCACCTCTTAGTATTCTATGCTTAACTCAGCTGATGAACACAATGAAATTGTATATACATAATAGATCCTGTAACACGGTGGTAACCCGCATTGCTCAATCGGTTAGAGCGCGAGACTTGTTATCTTGACATTGTTGGTTCAATTCCCGGGCTGGCAAACTTATATTCTTATATATATATATATGTATATAGTCTTCCATATAATATTTTAAATCGAGGTACCGTGTATGAATTTTAAACAATAGAAGCTTCTGAAATGTGGGCATCTTTCTGTATCTTGCACTATCCTCCAAAATCTAAAATGACTAATACTCTTCTTGAGGACGACTCGCCATTATGGGCAACCGGTGGCTATTATACATAAAGTCAAATACAAATACATACACACACTCGAAGTTTTTCTCACTTTATTTTATCATAACAGATAAACATACAAAATATATCACTGTAGACACCGTTACAACAACCTTGAATAACAACACATGTAATCACTGATTGAAATATTTAAATTCTATACATAACATTCATATATCAACCGTGTAATAATAAATATATAGCACTATATAACAGGTTTAGTTGTGATATTTAACAACAAGAGATCACATTCTACAAGTGTCATCATCTTTCTTATTTCCTAATCATCTGATAAAGACATACATTTATATATGTAAGTTCTTCTTAAAGGCACATTATATGCCCCAGAAATCCATATTTATTAAATTCTTTAGAAATGTCAACTATGAGTTTACTAATGTTTTAATGATAGATTGAGAGTGTGTGAGACTTTTAACAGCTGAATAAAGTAGCTTATTTGTCGTAAAGGTAGAAAAATGTAAATAAAGTAGTTTTTGACTTCGATACAAAATAAGTATTTATTATAATTATTCCGATTGTTAACAACACAAAAAGAGCAAAGATAATTCGTCTGTATGGCAAATGAGTATTTTTTTTTGCTTTACCAAGATACCAAAAAAAATATTTTAGAGGAATAAAAATGATAGCATTTCTGGGGCATAAAAGACCTTTAACATAAAATAATATTAAACAGTATATAAGCACAATAATATATTCTGACTTACTTGGTAATACATAATTATTACAATACAATAAACAATGTCCTTAATATGCACATTCCACTTTCTAAACAAAGCAACACTTATAGTCTATACATGTATTTTTGTAACTAATTGTACATGTACACAACATAATAATTAGCAAATTTACAACTTATTTTAAATTATTCCATTAATGTATGTTTTCTTAATATATATTTAAGTCGTACTTTCTTTACAAAAATCACCAAATTCAAATGTCTAAGTTTAGAGACGATTGTACCTGGTCAAAGTTAAGTAAAAGTGAAGCCGAAAACTTGCGAATCCGGTGTACAAGATATGCTTAGAAAAATTTCTGATAATATTTGTTTTGATCTTTCATTTTTGTTCTTGTGTTGTTTTTAGTTTACACTAATTGTCTGATTTTTTTTTCTTCCATATTAAAATAAAAATATTGCAGACACAAAACACTACTTTCTTAACCATTCATCAACTCTTTAGCTACATAAAATAAATATAGCGCATAAATTGAACAACCTAAACATCAGTCAATTTAAAAAAAAAGTCACAGAATTCATCGCACACCAATTGCTAAATATAACATATTACTGGTCAATATAAAATGCAACGATATAAATTCCTCCAACCAGATGCATTTATTTCCAACTAATTCCAAATGGTTCCAAATCAAATGTCTTAGACAGCGTTATATGCCCTCTTGGTCCCCAGACAATAAACGTTTTAATATTTCTATAGATAAATTTTGCTCGAAATTGGAAAAAATAACAACTGATTATTGCTATAGAATCTCTTATTCAATGTAAAATAAACATATTTTAGACACAATTTATTTTCCGTTTTAAATTGTACATACTGTAGGTAAAAGCATGAATACAACTATAAGTTATGTTTCAGATAGGACTACATCAAGTTGATTGACTAGTGACAGGGGGTGGAGGAGGGTTGAAGCTTCCGATAGATAGTTTGCGTATTTTCTTATTCAAATTAGACATATATAGTAAGAATTTCCTACATTTCAATAAATTTCTGCATTCAAAGCATTTAACCTATTGATGAGCACATTATATCTTTAACATAATTGTATGCCACTGTTGTTTAACAACCTTCAACAATTAGACCATTGTTCCATATGTTGGCATGGTAACAACTGAGGTATAAATCAACGCTATAAAAAACTTATTTACAAATAACAAAGCAATTAAAAAGAGAAAATTTAAAGTTCTAAGCACGAGGTAAAGCTCATTCCAAATACCTATTAAACGATAAAAACAAGAGAGTATTGTTACAAATCGAAAGAATTTTATAAGAAATAGGCTCCATAGATTGTTTGATTCCTTGTTTGATTCCTTGTTTGATTGACTCACAATTGACAGTTTTAAAGGTGTTAAACAATAACGGATGAAATATACTACATAAAAAATAAAACATTTGTTATTGAACGAACATGAAATTTTAAATGCTTGATTAAAAATGTATGGTTTGCGATGATTTTGCGCATGCGTTATCGGGTTTAGCGGACGTTAACAATCTTTAGACCCTTTGATACATTCTGTATTGAGATAAAAACAAATATTTTACTTATATCTGACAACAGTTTTAGCTTAATACCCTTTAATAATACTGATATTTTGAAAGAGCTGGCAGGTGAGAATGAATACTTTAAACTGATTTTTAAACATAAACATAAAGCTATTTGAACCTCCGATACATTGATTTAGATTTAATGTTACTATAAGGGTCTTTGCAACGTACTTTAGTACCATTGTAAATCATATACTTTAAATTGGAATTCTAGGCACGTATTCTATGTTTTTTTCATTTTTCATTTCGGTTAGGATTTATTATCAAATACGCTGTATTATTTAAGTCAAATTTACGTTTTTTAAAACATAACATTGAAAGTGTTTTTCTTCAATTTTTTTAAATCCGGAAAAATATGCTTAAGACACAAAATCAATATGTTTAGAGACAAGTAGCAGATTTTGAAGATAAAATATCCAATACCTTATTTCCAATTACTAATATTCAATACCTAATATCCAATAACTAATATCCAATAACTAATACCCAATAACTAATATTCAATAACTAATATCCAATAACTATGATTTTTGTTCATTTTTTTTATTTTAAGTCACAAGACTTTAAAACACAAAACAACAAAAATTAAATACATTTTCATTAAAAATTTAGCGCTATTACTTCAGTATATGTGATAAATCTAAACATTTTCATTTCTTGTAAAAAGTATAAGCATAACTTTATATCAATTTATTTCTTAAGAAACACCAAAGCATTTTCTTGGCATGGAATAATATAATAAATTAAACAAAACATACCAATAAATTTCAAAACATATCAAACAATTTCATACATTTACATGATAAAACATAGCTTTTTTATTTAAAAAAAAATCAAAATCTAAATAGTATTTTCCATCCTGGAAATACCATTAATTCTATTCATAATAATTTTTTTTTAAAGGAGTGTTTCATCTACAGGGGAAAATACTACTACTTCGATGGTGAACTCAAATAAAAATACCCATAAATGTGTCGTTCTAATATAAGAAAAAAACATAAGGTTTATAATACCGTATATTTTCTATAATTATACTACTTGAATTATATAGAAAATAACAAAGCTACTTAATCATTGATTGGACTACAGTGCGAAATAGTTTTTATATTGGAATATCTAGCTCAATGTAATGGTTTGGAAATACATGTATTTGTAAGATCCAAATAGCGTAATTCTACTATAATTGTTACTTTCTAAGACCGTCAAATTAATATAAAATTTCAGGCCTGATTCCATACATAATTAATTAAAATAAAAGATCTTTCTGAATTTCTAGCACTAACAAATAATGTAAAACTAGAAACCAAAAAAAAATCCAGAAAAATCCAATACGCCGATCTATTTTTGAAACTAATTTTGGCTCTAAGAGAATTTTAATATGGCATTTTATTTTGCCGCGCAATTATATTTGGACTATAAAAGCTGCTCGCTGAAAACGTGTAAGGGAGATCTAAAAATAAATAATTTATGTTTCTAAAAATAAATACATTCTGTTTTATATTTTAAAAAGTCTATTATTATAGATTCACATTGTACGAGTCTCGTATGAGTCTCAAGAAAAACACATTTGATATGTCAGTTTGTAGATAAACATGCTGTTGGTTTATGACAGACTATGTTACCTTCAATCTTTTCTGTGTTTTACATGATCTAAAGTAAAATTATCTTGTATATAATATTTGTTTCATACACTATTTATTTGTTTCCGTGTTGTTATAGTGACCGTATATAAAAGTACATTGTACAATGTGCAAAACTTTCTAAACTTGTCAAACTGTCGCAAAATTTATACAAACAGAGAAACACTACTGTGTTAGAATTACATGTACGAGCATTACACAACTTCGTAAAAATAAACATTCTTTGAGAAATGACAGTGGAATTCATTAATTCATTAATTAATGTTAATATATCTTAATGAAATAAATGTAATAAATATATATAAATAATTGATATGAAAGTTTTATTTTTTCTAAAATATACAACACATGTTGTCAAAAGAAACAATCATTTAAGTAATATACTGTATTCATGCGAAATGTTTTTTCGCCTACGAAATGGACATTTGTTTTTTTTAATTATGGTTAAAGTGCATTAATAAATATCTTTTTTAATAATGAACAAGTGATATATGACATAAAATTATAATTATATCAATTTGGCAATACTTTTTTTCATTATTTATAAATTATACTCGTATATTCGAAAATAATCGTATAAAAATGCCACATAAAACTTTGTGTTTGTTGTTTCATATCATACGTTACACGTAAGTTTACAATATGTAATGTTAGTTTCAGATGAAGAACTTATTGATAAGAACTTACATAAGATAAGTTAACACAACCTCATATAAATCATCTGTTTTCATGGCCTACGCCTGTGTCGCATTAAACATAATTAATAAATTACAAACCCAATAGCGAACAAAATGCATGTAATATTTTGTTAGATAAGAACCCTAGTCAGTAATATGCGGTAGTTTCCTGGAGATAACAATTACCAGTCAATTACATATAAGACATTTGTCTGTTAGGTTTCGTGTTGTAACATTTGACAATGATGCATTGATTATATTACTCCCAGTACTTGTATTTTCAAACCAGCAATAAGCAATTATCTTAATAAAATTTATAAATAATGCCTCATAAAAGTTGAAAGTCCAAAGCATCATACGTTTAGAATACCTTGGCTTTAATAATATGTTTTTCAGGAAAGCTTGCACTATTTCTTTCTCCTTTATAATGGAAAACAGAAAATATCTTATAATTAACAGTAAGAAGACTAATTACCACATTTTGTTCACGTTAGTTAAACTAATTTTCACAATTTACGTCATAAGAAAAAACAACACTAGACAAGTTGTTCAGATCAATTTGTTTGCCGCTAAAATATACGCATTTCAATTATTTCGAGCTTCTTTGAACACTAGAATTCCATACATTACCTTTACGTGAGCATTTTTCGTATAATATCTTAAACCTGTTGAGCTTTACCTCTAGAGGATGAGTCATTCTAAAAAAACAATCGTTTGTCTACGATCTGTGTTTAGATATCTAGCAAACTCATTGTTATAATGGTGTAGTGGAGAAGCTTTCTGAGGGGTTTTAAGTTTTCTAGCCAGAAACATACATACACAAACATATTTTACGTCCGGATGTTGATAATTATATAATTACATAAAATCAGATTGAGAATAAACAAAAACATATTGCAAAATTGTTCATTTGTTTTTCGTATATAATGTTTAAATTGAATTATGAGTGTAGGGCAGTATTACCAGGTCTACATTTACAAACAAATTAAATAAAAATGATGTTAACATTACAAATTGGTCACTACAACGTGTACATTTTCTTAAAGGAAACTATGTAACTCTTTCAAAATATCCATTAATATTTGTATACGAAGTACCTATATCACTATGGAAACAACGTTTCTAAACGTTTAGACTATAGCAAATGCAATTTCTTCTAATTGAAAGAGATATTTTGACTGCTGCATTACGCCAAAGGTAACATAGAAAACCAGTTGTTTTTAATTTTAAAGAATGGTTATAATAAACTGAATATTCGATAACATAAATTAGAATAATAACATATATTTGAAAACCAACGTATAAATTATTGAACAGCTGTAGTAGGTAACTTCACACAAATCAATCACGTTCTCAGATAATAAATTATATACATTTATATAAGTCGCTTTGAGCTTAATAATAAAATAACATTTACTAGAAATTGAGACATCAAAACTTAAAGTATGCTTACATATACATGTATTTAACACAAATTGTTACAATAGCCGCAAATCATTTTTTTAAATCGAATGATTACAAAATGACCGGCATTTTCTGATTTTAATAGTTTTTTTTCTGCATCAGATAATAAGGTTAACTTGTGATTTAGAAAATAAACAGCAAAAACCTTGATGAAAAAGGGGTTTAACCCCTCCAAACGCTGAAGATTGATAAACTTTGTGCAATAGATAGTCATGTTTTAAATGATTTCGGAGTGGTTTTTAATAGTTTTGTTTTTCTAAAACAAAAATTAGGAAAGAATATATTTTGGCCCAAAACAACGGTTTTTATACCAGTTAACTGTATATTCAACTCAATCATTATACATATAAATATAATTAAAGTTTTGTTTTTAATAAGCTGGAAGTTTAATTGATTGACAAAACTAATTACACGTCACTCTCGTCGTCATTTTCTTCAACATCCGGGATATCAAAACGTATTTCACCTGGCTCATTATCGTCTACAACTTGTTCTTCTTGGTTCTCTTCTGGGTTCAATGCATTATATGAATGAGGGCGAACGATTGACTCTTCCGGTACAGCCAAGCAACCATTTTGTTTAGTGTACGTCACGCGTAAATTACGAGTACCTCCTCTATACCCACGAACCGGAAATGATTGCGTTCTACGAAGTCCTGGTGCGTCGCCATTTTGATTTCGTTTGTTATTCATGGCGGCTTTGAATGATGATGACCGAAATGAACGGAAAGACTTTATACTATTTTTTCGTTTATCTTTATAACAGTAATATCTTATTTTTCGTCGCAAATACCTTTGGAAAGAATTCCGTAAAATTTTGTTACGTAATCCGTATACTGACGAATGGACAACTGGGGCGGACAAGAACAACATAATGAATGTAGATGAAAGCACACCATTCATTCTAAAATCATCCGATGTCACAACTTCTGCTAACAATATCACAGACAATGGTATATACACAACAACAAACGAGCCTATCAGTTGGAAAATTGTACACATGGCTTTTGTCCCTTTGATAGAGAGACTACTTGGTGGACTGTTGGGAGCTATAGTGGCCTGAATCACGCAAGTCATTTGAACCATTGTGGCGGCTATCCTACTTGATTGTGTTCTAGCAATGCGATAAATGTGCGTGTAACAAAATAACATAATTCCCAACGGAATATAAATGGCAGCTAATAAAAATGAGACGATGTAAATTTTTCCTGTAACTGATTTTGTACACACAAAACAAATTCCCTTTTCGGCGTGGAACACATAACGACTTCCGCCCAAGAGTGGAGGAATTGATAACGTACAAGCCAGTGTCCAGAATACGGAGAAACAAACTATCATTTTGACGGCAGTGGCCGTCAGTGAGTGATGCAATGGACAAGCAATAGTTTGGTACTTATCCCAACTTAATGCGGTTATTGTCCATGACGTCACAAATGTTAAAACAGTTAATAAAAATCCATATAATTGGCAAACAACAATTCCTCCGAACCATTTTCCTGTAAAACTCACAACCGCAGTTGATAAATTAATCAGAAATGATAGAAGTAAACCGGTACACCCTAAGTGAACTAAAAGTATATTCCTTACCGTTCTTAATCTCCGATTAGGAACTATTGAAACTATCATAAATGAATTAAATGCAAATCCTATTGCCACAAATATCACTAAAGAAACACCACGTGCTGTTTGTGGAACATCATATCTGGTCATATCTGAATTCCGTCGGTAATCCGTGTCTATAAAATTATATGTTTCATTTATTTGCATCATAAATGTATCATTTACCCTTATATTTCCACTCGCGTTTTCTTTTATGTACATTTCGAACGCTGGTACAGGAAACTCCGTTTGTAATTGCATTTGCAAAATGCGTAAATTCCAATCGCATTATATAAACAAAAATAATATATTCCTATCTACCTTAAATCAACGAAGTATTTTTTATCATTTGATCATTTATATCCTCGCAGCTGTAGGTAGTTTCCAACTTGGTTTTGACAGATGGTCTGACTGATATTCCTTTATCAGCCCCCATAATCTATAAATATTGTTCTATATTCAGCACATTCTCAGACTTTCTACTAAAATATTCCAATTCTGCTGGCAAATTTCTATAACATCCAAAATCTTAACACAGCTTTACGTCTTCTGTAGAAATTTAATGAATCAAAACGCGAGAGAAGTTTGATTTTTCAATTTTTGATCCAAGTTATTTTCCTCATGGGAACAATAAAGCTTGAAATATTTGCAGAGATCTGTTTTGAATAATAAATCGAGCTCAAATATCCGACGATGCAAACACAATTCAAATATAAAATTCGTTAACTACAACAAAGTATATAGCGTTGTAAAGAAATTCAAGCGTCTAAAATCCGTGCGCGGAATGGAATATTACGTTTTCCTCTGCTCTTTCTCATAGAATACCCTCACGGATTAACTTTCCAATTGTGTTACTATAAATAGAAATAGTTAATTCATCACAGCGTATATCTGGGAATAACGTCTGCTGACGGAGAAAAGATTGATTTGTAGCTTGGGAATAAGTCAGTTGTGTTGTCGTGCCCTGTGATGATAGTATCTGCACGTGAAAATGGTAAATCCGTAATAATACACAACAAGAAAAAAAACGCCTACTTAAGTTGTATACTTAGTAGTTTTATTCTCAGTCATTCTTCTCCCTTGTATTTTTATTCAAAATTTTCAAAAAATGTTTCTTTTATCCAAAAAGAAGAAAAAATCATGTGAAATAGTATTAATAATATCTTTTATGTCAAAATTTGAAGATATTGATGATGTTCAAGAAAGTACATGTATATTTTTTCAGTTAATTTCAGCTGCCGAAACGTTAATTACCTTTCAAGTTTTTAGTCACTGAAAATCAATGATTTGCAATTTAGTGGTATGAGCCCTCGTAAATTTGTTGTGATTTTTGGTGTCTTTTTTTCAAATATCCCAAACATAATTATAACTATATAACCGGCGCATGTCTGTAGTTTTAATTATAACATAATTACATAAATCCGTTTTTCTAACTCATCACTTATATGTCATCCTGAAACATCCAAATATAGTAGAGAAATATTTGAAAATCAAAAAGTGAAAACTTTATCCAATACAAAGCCGGCAATTTCCTTCCGTTTTTTGTTTTTGTTTTTTTTTATGAAGCAGTCAACATTTAGTCTAGACCGATAATCTCGCTACTTTACTTGACTCAAAATTTAACATCTTTTTCAATTTACTTCTGTTGTTATATTACAATTTGAACTTGTGTCCGTTACTTACACCTGTTAAACAAAGTGTTTAATTATTTCCTTACAAAAATAACCTTTTTGTATGAATTCATGTCAACATGATTTTTGTTACATTTTCTGTTGTTGTTGTTGTTTTTCAAGTTGAAATCGTTGTTACATTATTTGTTGTTGTCCCGTTATTGTTCTTTTGACCGCTTAATGATAATCTAATTTTTACAATTCAGTCGAAAAAAAATATCCAAGTTACAGAATAGTTTCACAAATTCGTCCTTTTTTTTAATGAATTCATGTCACTGCGTTTTGTTCTATTTATCAAACCTCCCACACCTCGGCTTTTTACTCACATAAAAATATTTACAGAAGCCTCTTCGAGGTTTATAATCTTATTTTTATAGCGTATAAAACGTTTAATCCAACAATTCTCGATTGTTTATTCACCCTGTCTTTGTTTACCTACTACGATTTTCATACTAAAGCCACACTTGTAAAGATCTGAAACCGAGTGCGTTATAAAATCCATAGTACCTATAAACAAAAGGTATACTTGCAGCAAATTTTGAAACGTTTCCAAGTGAAAACTATAAACCAGGCCTGTTTTCTTCAAACTCTTAAACAGGTATTGTGAAAACATTGGCGAACTGAAGTGAAATTGAGCTATTTCGCTATGAAGGTGGCTGTGTGGCGAGGTGCAAGTCGATACATATTGCCGTAATTCCCTTCAGACAGCGACGTACTGGTCAATTAATTCCCAGACCTAGTAACATAATATCTCTAATTAGGAAAAATTAGAGTGAATAATATAGTAATATGGCTGTTTACACTGAATCGATTACATTTGTTACTAAATTGTAAAATTACATATCATTATTCATCAGGGGAGGGGGGTGGAACCACACTAATAATATCTGTCATATTTTGCGGTTCGGATCGGAATATCCGTCCCGAGGTGACCCGCCCATTGGGCGGTAACGAGGCTTGCCGAGTTACCGCACATGGGCGGGTGACCGAGGGACGGATATTCCGATCCGAACCGCAAACATATGTCAGATATTTTTTCTTGCATATTCTATCATATTCCATTATATTTTAAATTCTCTATCTTTTTATTTCCAATGAAAATTTATATCCAACAGCGTATGAATTACAAAATCATTCATAACGGTAAAATGACGTCATCTTTATCGTGCCATTGTACAGCACGCGACTCATCTAGAACCCCCCATGCCAGATGAAATTTCCGGCATGGGTAAAACTAACGGAAACGCCAGTCTGATATGCAAGAAAGTTATGTGAGGGATATTCTTAAGCCATCTTCTGAAAGACTGTCGGAAATTACCGAGCGTGTTACGGAAAAAAACGATTTTCTAAATTACGTTTTTGACGTTATTTGGATCATTATGAATTAATATTTCCATACAAAAATGTATATGTACAAAGGAATAGGAAAAAAATATAAAACCCTAGAAAACTATCAATTTTAAATTATTTTACTGTTCATTGAGAAACCATTAAATATTAATCATCATCGAAAGTCGTGTTTTACCAACTGTCTGATTTATTTGTAGTAACATCAAGGGATTATTTACCTAGTAAAAGATAATTTGATATTTCAAACGTCCGAACCGCGGTTATTTCTTTATAGTCTAGATGATTTACATAACTTTATTTTAAACGCTATAATATCAGTTATATAGAATGTTGACATGTTATATGTTTTGGTGTAAGTTGACGTTCATATAACCCGAACTGCTAGACGAGGGTCATATATAGGCAACACCCATCTTTACATTCCATACGTACTATAAAAGTATTTGTAACGACCTGATTCTTGACTTTGATCTAAAATACAAATAATAGGGTGTATTATAGCAGTGTGTGATATACATTTGATATTCATTATCAATACATACTGTACGATGTAAGCGGTTTTCTCGGGAACTTTGTTGTTTTTTTTTTTCTTTTTACTTTTTTTTTCTTTATTTATTGAGTGGATTTTTTTTTATTTACATGCTTATCAACATCAACATTGTCATTACTTTCATCATCATCATCATCATCATCATCATCATCATCATCATCATCATCATCAACATCATAATCATCATCATCGTTATCATCGTTATCATCATCAATCTCATCATCAACATCATCATTTCATAATTATTATTATTATTATTATTAGTAGTAGTAGTAGTAGTATTATTATTATATATATTATTATATCTATTATTATCTTTATCGTCATCATCGACATCATCATCATTATTATCATCATCATAGCTGTCATTATCATTATCAGCAGCAGCATAAACACACTCATCATTAAAAATATAAACTTTCATGATTATAATTATCTTTTTTATTATTATCACCATCATCATCATCATTATCATCATAAACATTATTGTAAAAGACAGGTAAGTTTGAATAGGGCTAGACTTCCTGCAGTAACATTTTTACTTCCAAATTGTTTCTGACGTTCTACAAAAGTAAATTGCGCATTGTATGTTCTTTACATGCAGTAAAACATAAAATAGAGTAAAACTAGCATAACATTTTATTTGTTACGACACCTGGTATGTCTGACTTACATTTTACCAAGTTTGCAGCATGCCAATACGCTTACTCTTCTCTTCCTAAAATTAAACTGACGCAGTTTCTTTTTCTGTATTTGCTGCACTTAATGAAACCTGTCCTTTTTTTTTCTTACACCGAAGGCTCTCTACCTGCCGCTTACCCTCTATATAATTATGTTATAATGTTGTTGTTGCTTTTTGTTGTTGTTGTTTTTTTGTTTTGTTTTGTTGTTGTTGTTGTTGTTTTTGTTTTTTGTTTTGTTTTGTTTTTTGTTGGGGGGGGGGGGGGGGGGGATTTTTTAATAGTAGCATTTACTTTAATTCTGTAATAAAACATGTTTTCATAAGTTGATAATAGAGAGGTAAATAAATACTATGTTTTATGTTACTCTGTTCTTGTGTGATTCATGTCTTTTCTCTAGCAAAGCGTTTTGAAGTAAATCGGTTAGTTGTTTTTGGGGTCCTATTTAACACTACTAAGGACTTCGAAAGACCGCTGATGACATTAAAATAAGACTAAAAATTATTGTTTGGAAATTAATTTTAACTATTTCAAAGCAACTCTGTATTAGTTGTATAGAATGCAGGGGAAATAACTCAATCATTGACTGAAAATAGCAGTGCCGGTGTTACCTTATTGAAGGTTCTTTTTATTTTACTCTGTTGCATCCTAATGATCTTAAATTTCATTTTAAATGCGACTCAGTGAGATTTATTTATTTATTTATTTGTCTACTGGTTGTATCGGACACGTAGACCCAACACGTGTTTTCGTCCTACGAAATCGTCTTGTCACGAGTTTCTTATAGTTATTATCTCGTGGCCAATGGATAGTGAATTTTATTTGTTGGTGCTTTGTTGTTGTTGTTGTTGTTGTTGTCGTCGTCGTCGTCGTCGTCGTCGTCGTCGTCGTCGTTGTTTTAGTAGAAAAAAAGACCACCATTCCCCCTCTTTGTTTCCGTAAATAGAAGCTAGTTTATTGATTTTTTTTATTAAATTAGCTCTATACTTTTCCTGTTTCAATATTAACAGTTTTACGTGCAATAGATCTAAAACTAATGTGAATTCAGGCTTACACTGAAAAAGATGTTACAAGGTCCTTCTGATTGTGAACAAAAAAAGCTCACCCTTAAAAAACGAACCAAGATTTTAAGTCAGAACAGACGTGAAATTGCATGTGCATATAATAAATGATGTTTCAATTATTCATGTGTAACTTAATTAAAATTCCTGAAGTTTTAACTGGTAACTGAAACTGTACTTCAAATAAGCAACGCACACACAGAAATAGTTTCTTTGATTGCTTTTTAAGATTGATGCATTACCTAGTATATCAATAACTCACTACTTGAAAAGATGTACCATATTTCAGGGTATACTTCTAATAGTCTTCATCTGATAAACAGAGATAAATAATCTGATAAACAGAGATAAATAATATGATAAACAGAGATAAAAATCTGTTAAACAGAGATAAATAATCTGATAAACAGAGATAAATAATCTGATAAACAGAGAGATAAACAGGTAGTCATCCAGTAAACTATTTGAAAACTTTCGCGACATAATTAAAAGCATGCTATACATAAAGATATAAATTGTTTGATACTGTAATGTTAAAGTCTGCTGGCTCTGTGTTTAAATTGTTTAATACTATAATGTCAAAGCATGAAAGGCCCTCCTACTCAACTCTGTGTTTATTTGATGCTATAATTCCAAATATATGTCGACTCTGTTGAAATTGTTTGAAATGGCAAACGCCTATTTAGCTTGTGTTTACATTTTTATACTATTATTATGCCATATTTAGATTTATCTTGTTATTTTTTCTTTTCCATTTATGAAAAAAGAAATCCGTATACTGTATACTTTATATATACAAATGTCACAAATACAATGTCCGAATCTGAACCTCCAGTAGGCGGTCAATTTACAGCTAATGACTTCAGTCTATATCCAGTAATTAGTAAGCAGACAAATGGAAGATTGTAATACCCATAATGGCTTTACAGGATAAGCCTCTGTCTATTCCATAATGGAATTTTTATCTCTTTTACGTAAAGGTTTTCTCTTTGACGTATGCACAAAGAGTACTACATGGTAATAAAAACCTAATCTGGCTTTTCCCCTAATTACTCTTCATCAATGTTAACATCTCTTTAACCAAAAGATAACAAACACATGGTAGTAAGTTTCTTTTAAATGTTAAAACGGGCACATTTTACAGACAGCCCGCATATATATAAGAAAAATAATATCTCCGGTCACTGAAGAAAAACAAAGTGCAATACAGTATGTTAATATTGTACTAATTAAGTTTAAATGACAGCGGTAATAAATATCAATAGAAGGTTATTATGTCGACCTTAGGACAATATATTTACATTTCATAATAGACTAAGCAATAAACCAATAATTATGTAGTATTCTTGTTGTCAAATATACAATACCAGACAAGACCACGAACACGTTAGGCCTAAAACAAATTGTTTTGTTCGGCTCACCCGAACCTACCTAAAGATATACCCGACCTTACCATTTTTAGGTCTGTCAAAAATGACAAAAGGTCACACAAAAATTGAAGAAAAATTCACAATTCCCATCAACAATTTGATTTCAAATCGATTATTCATAAAATCGATGTAAAAACTCTTTAAAGTCGGCATAAACTTTAAAGAATTTAGCCGAAATTCCATCGGAGACCGTGAATTCGCCCTACATCAATACCGTATGAGGGCTTTTATCGTTAACCTCCAGTCAAGTAGCGATCTCCCCTTTTCAGTACATATAGGTAATCACTGTTAGGGGTTTACGTATAGTTAAAGCGCCTTTAGTTAATTTTAAATGAAATTTGTTATATATTCACCAAGATTAAAATGGACATGTCAAATAAATAGTAAATTTTGTCTTCAAAATGTTACATCAACCACGATAAATTTTGCCATAAATTACAAATTTGAAAGTTTTGTTTTACAATGCCTGATGAAATAGCCTATGCAAATTAGTCTTATTATGAACAAGCATATTTGATTTTATATCATTT